TAAAAGGAAGGATTTACCATGAAAACAAAATCAGCAAGCATACTGTATAGGGACATGGGAACTGCCTTATATTGAGTCAGATCATTAGTCCATCTAGCTCAGTGCTGGCGACAGCTCTCCGGGGTTGGATCTTTCCGGAAATGTGGAAAATCTAAAATGGAACATTCAACTTGCAAAGAACACTCTCTGCTGCTAAGCTATGTCCTTTCCCCACCAGACACTAGTTAACCAGCCTCCCTGTCTTCCATTAAAGTCCAGGGAATAAGTCATGAGAGAATTCCTCCCATGGGGCTATTTCAGATGCGGAAGCTGAGGCGGCAAAAACCACTTACCCCACTGTTTGAAACAGTGGACGGATAAGCTCCATCCTGCACCCAATGAAATTCTGCCCTACAAATGAAGAGCAGCAGCCTCTTTGATGGGGAAAGAAATTTTTGGGGAAAGAGAAAGGCAGGTTTCAGCACAGTGCTAACTAATACATTTGGAAGAGAAATGATCAGATAGCATAGAAATGAACCTGACTGGTTATTTTACTGTTCAGTAAACGCAGACTCAATTAATAGATTGTAATATTTTTCTCAGTCAACTGATAAAATCTATTAAGGTTTGGAGCTATTTCAGCAAGGTTTAAATGAAGGAGGGGACAATGGCACAATCAATCTATTTGGCATATTTGGCGAGGATTTATGAATGTAACACAAGTAATTTTCTCCGTATCTTACAGAGAGAGCTCCGAAAAGTATTTCAGTTTATTGCGAACAAGAAACTGTCAAAATAAACCTGCCCAGTCAATGGAAAGAGTGGATATGGAAATGCAGAGATATAGGAAATGGATCTTAATTACCCTCATAACAGTACACTGCTGCGATATTTTCACACCGACAACAAGAAGAAAACGTTGGTTTCTCAAGTCCATGCTTTTTTAATGGACTTCAAATGGTTATAGCAATGATATAACCATAAAAGCCAGGAACAAAGAAATACCTCAGGGCATGCATATGTTGGTAGTGAGCGGTGGGAGAGATGCCAGGCCCCCACCCCACCCCAACACTGTACTTATCATCAAATCTAAAATCCTAAAAAAAATCCCAAAAAGCATTGTATACTAGACTGATTCCATAGAGTCAAGGTAGCCAGGTGAGATAGAAGACAGGCTCCTGCAGCATGTAATACTTCTGTAAAAGAGAGGATTTCAGCCAGTGTAGTTTGTATGACAAGCTACACCTGTTGAAGCCCCCTCTTCTATGCAACTATGTCGTGAACCACTCTGAAATCTACAGATGAAGAGTGGTATTCAAATTTATAAATAATAATAATATCTGCAGGAGTCTTGTTCTCATTTTCTCCTGAGCACTCTAAATAGAGTGTGGCATGCTGACTCAGGAAGGCCTAACCATGGAGTCCAAAAGGCTTCCTGAGGCTAATGTTCCTCCACTGATCAAATCCAGGTGTTTCATCAGCACATTGTCCTGCTTCCATCTTTGCTGATCTCTTTTTTTTTCAAAATTGTTTATTAATTTTCCAGAAATTTTTTTAAAGCAAACAAACAAACAGACAGACATCTCCAGCATAAATAAACCAATCTTCATAACATTGTTAAGTGACTTCCTCATATCCCCCTGGTTGAATTTCAGTGTATCTCATTTTAACGGTTTTCCAAAACCTAGATTCTTAAAAATTTAACTTAATCACTTAACATCTTTCTTTCTTAACCATTCAACTTTAAACATATTAATTCATCACATTACATATTTAAATCCTAAGCCTATCTGGTAATTGCAAGCTTTCCAATTAAGTTAATTTAACATGTTTGACTAAATAGTATTTAAATTTCATCTATTCTTCCTGGTAGTCCTCCTCCTTCTGGTTGCAGACTCTTCCAGTCAGGTCGGCTAGCTCCAAAAAGTCCATCATCTTCACCATCTTTGCTGATCTCATTTCTGCTTACTCAGTGCTTCCTTTGACAAGAAATTGTCATATATGAATAATATGGACAGGCAAATATGTTTCAGTTTCTCTCAGCTTCTTATAATTACAATTTTAAGTTTGGTTCTCCACATTTCCACCTCTGTAAGGTTTTTCTTAGTAAAAATCTCTCCCTAATATACTAATTTTTGCAGTACTTTCATGCAAGGAAAGGCAATGTGTTTCACTCATTACTTATTAGTGAAAGATTGTGAGGCCATCAAGACATAAAATGGAGGCCACTGAGGTATAGGGCCCAGTCATCTGGTGGAACTCCTCTCTCTGTAAGGTCCTGCCCATGATGGAAATCCTTCCAGGCAGACCTTTCTTATAGTTTCATCACCAAGTGGAGCCTGTGAGGCTCAGAATCTGGACAGGGCCTTCTTAGTGGTATCATCCCAGCCATGGAATATACTTTCCCCTGACGTGCAACTGGAACTGATATTAATTAGCTTTCAGCACCAACTTAAAACACTCCTCTTCCTCTAGCTCTTTGAGGGTAATGTATCCAGTCATGCAGAGCCACCTGTTTTGTCTTGAAAAGGAATCAATAGGTAACTTGCATATTGCCTTGCTGGTCTTAAGGTTTTTGATTGATTTTGTGCCATATTCTAATTGTTGATATCCACCCAGTGAACACTTAGCAAATAAAGCCTGGATATACATTTTACAAATATAATTTGAGTGTTATGTCAAACCATGAATTAATTCAGTTCACTTCTGGAACACATATGTCATCTTTTGAGAAAATCCATAACAGACATGAAAGGACATGCCGTTCTCTCCTGGCCCGTCAAGTTATTAGCATCTTTTCATTCGCATATTTCCTTTACAATCTTTTTCACAGCATGATACCATGTCTTGCCATTTGTCTTCTCATGGCATTACTGATAAAATGAGTCAGAGCAATAGATGTGCACCAAGCAATACTCCACTCGTGAGGTAAATTCAACAGTTTTAAGATTCTGTACATAGGTGTACATTATCTGGAGTGGAAGCGCCAGCTTCTCCAGAGGACTGGGGGGGGGCGAGATAATGCCGGACGACATCTGAGGAGTCAGAGGGCCAAGCCAAACGTGAAAATTGAGGGGGCCCATTCTAAATCATAGCTGTGGTGTGCCTGGTGCTGCCCCCAAGCATCCATGCCCAGTGTGGCCAAACTGGTCATGTTCCCCTAGATCCACTTCTGAGCTGTTGATAGCCATAGTTTAGTGTTACATGGATGAGTCTCAGGCTCATGGATTTCTCTCTTCTCTCTCCTCCTCCACTTACATTTTCAACTAAATGCAGTTTGCTGATATATCCAGACTGGAAACTAGGGTTAGTTATATCTATGGTTTACCTGAAACAGCCAGAGTCATTAATTTGGGGTGGAAGTTGCCTTGTTAGGACAAAATGTAATTTAAGCCACTAACCACAGTTGTCCTGGTTTTATGACAAACCATGGATAGCTGAAAACAGAAGAGAAAGTTTCGACTTATTCTGCAAGATGTTCACACAAGTGGCTTCGAAGACACTCCAGGTGTGTTCACATACTTACCTAGATTCCCTTCAATCCAAGTGATCTGATTTTAAGAAGGCAATTGTTAAAAATAAATACCTCATATCAAGTACAGTCAAAAGTCCAATTGATTTCTGGGCCAATCAAGCAGGTGCTCACACAACCCTAATAGAAGTATTTCTGTATCTCTTTCTTTAGAAGAAAGAATGCAGTGTCTGATTTTGTTGTGTGGGTGGGGTTTGGAAATTAAGGAATGATTTATGTAGCAATAAAACATCACTGGAGGCGGAGCCTTGATGTTTGATGCAACCACTGTGAATGTTCATTTGTTGCATAGGCTTACTTTTGCTAATGGAAGCCAATTTAAATTTTATCATGATAGCCTTATAAATATGCAACTGTGAAATGTTATTTATTGCTAAAATTAATGTTTCAGCCATATTTATTTTGATAAATTCTTCTAGGAAGTGGAAATCTGCTGCATTTAACATAAGGCAAATTAAAATGGTGACATTTATATGGCGTGCTAATTAACGGGAAGCTTGAGTGGAATTCTCATGCAAATACTGTACATATTGTGTGACAACGAGATTAATACCAGAGGATTTCATTGTGATTAGAGTTGTTATGCTGAGCATTAAATAAATTAACAGTAATGAGACACATTTCCACACGGTTTTTAATGGATTGATTTCTTCTTGCTAAAGTGTGGTCAAATGCAGTGCCATTTGAGGAAATGGTGAGCGCCGTTGCTGCACTAATGGCTCCGAACACTCGGAATTAGACACCAAGTGAGGTTTTCAAAGCCCCACTGAACTTCCATGTATTCTGGAAACTAAAGAAAGAAGGGAACCTGCACGCAGCCCCTCTTCCAGACCACAGTAATGATGCCAAGTTTACTACCAATCTGGCATGCAGTACTATGCAGAAACAAAGCGCTTTCTGTGCTTAGATGAGGTGATCTGAACCTCCTTGCCTTGAATAACAGATCCATCACCTGCATCCTCACTGAGCACAACTGGGAACAATCTGATGGGGAAGAGTAAGTGGGTCACCTTCCAGTCCAATCAAGTGTGGCTTAATTTGAGGAAAGAGCTTTTGCCTCCTTCAAGTAACTGTCTCTTTTCCTCTTAAGGAGGCTCCACCATGAACACTGCTGAGAAAGAAAGACAAATAGTTGTTCTGGGATTCCTCTCTGCGCATCACTTGACGAAACACTTGCGATTCTGCACAAGACAACACATTGCAGATAAGCTTTTGAGCTAGAAGGATTCCCCAGGTGTAACAATAATGGCATGTGAAGAAAAGAAATGGCTGCTGGTTAAATAATCTAAAGATTACTTTAGGGAAATGAATCCTCACTTCGCCTTATCTTCATCTCTCTATATTCTTGGAGTTGTATATGATTCAAATCACTCTGGAAATCTAAAGTCATTTTTCCCCTGCAGAAATCTTTCTGAAGACAATCCTATTTATGATATTTGTGCATGACTATGTTGTAGGAAAGATTATGGCTGTGCATAGTGAGTGAGTCAGTTTGAGTGTGTGTGTGTGTGTGTGTGTGTGTGTGTGTGTACACACATACAAACACACACACACACTGACATTAGTTAGACCTCTGGAGTTCAGAATCATTTGGTTTGGCGATCTGCTGCCCACATATGTAGGAGATACCATCCACTACAATGATGCCATCTACTGTAGATCTGTACTGGGATGCGGGTGGCGCTGTGGGTAAAACCTCAGCGCCTAGGACTTGCCGATCGCATGGTCGGCGGTTCGAATCCCCGCGGCGGGGTGCGCTCCCGTCGTTCGGTCCCAGCGCCTGCCAACCTAGCAGTTCGAAAGCACCCCCGGGTGCAAGTAGATAAATAGGGACCGCTTACCAGCGGGAAGGTAAACGGTGTTCTGTGTGCTGCGCTGGCTCGCCAGATGCAGCTTGTCATGCTGGCCACGTGGCCCGGAAGTGTCTGCGGACAGCGCTGGCTCCCGGCCTATAGAGTGAGATGAACGCACAACCCTAGAGTCTGGCAAGACTGGCCCGTACGGGCAGGGGTACCTTTACCTTTACCTTACTGTAGATCTATCCATCCTCCATTCCCCAATTATCCTGATTCCTCAATTTTCAGCAGTACTTGATGGGTCCCAGAAAGCAGAAGAGGCTATTTCAACCTTTTTATTATAAGCATTTTTTTTAATCCTGAGAACTGGCTAAGGAAGTGTGACTTTCACTCACTATCTCCTCCCACCATGACTACAGAGTCCTCCGATATTTTTAGGGCCCACCTTATTTTTGTGATTGTAAATTGTTTTAATGTTGTGTTTTAATGTAACCCACCTTGGGACCTTAGGGTGAAGAGTGAGATGATGATGATGATAATAATAAGAATAAGAATAAGAATAGTCATAATGATATGGAGAAAGGGCCTGCCCTATTAACAGGATTCCCTGACAGAGTCCAGTTCAGAGCCATGCTGCTTGCTGTGGCTGCTAGCTGGAATTTTAATCTCAGCTGACCGTATAAAAGGGCTTATGAGTACAGTGGTACCTTGGGTTACAGGCTCTTCAGGTTACAGACGCTTCAGGTTACAGACTCTGCTAACCCAGAAATAGTACCTCAGGTTAAGAACTTTGCTTCAGGATGAGAACAGAAATTGTGCAGCGGCAGCACAGCGGCGGCTGGAGGCCCCATTAACTAAAGTGGTACCTCAGGTTAAGAACAGTTTCAGGTTAAGAACAGATCTCCGGAACGAATTAAGTTCTTAACCCGAGGTACCACTGTAAAGGGTCTACCGATTGCAGCTTTCACCCACTGAGTGCCACCCAGATGTTTTAGACTACAACTCCCAGCAGCCCCAGCCAGCACAAGCTGATTGAGGCTTATGGGAGTTGTAGTCAAAAACACCTGGAGGGCACCAGGTTAGTGAAGGCTGGCCTGTTGTTATCTCCAGTTGTAAAGCGGGGGGGGTGGGGATATTCAGGGTACTTCAGCATGTGCAAATGGCAAGTCCTGTCCCCCGCCCCTTCTTTACTCATGCATACAGGATGCAAGCTTAAGCACCATAAACTCTTACTAAGCTTTTCCTGTACAGCAAGGTCTTTTACATGCACCACTGGTACCAGACACAATATGCCTTCAGTTGCATTCATCTCATATCTATGGCACACTAAGGTTTATCAAAACACATTTTATGCTATAATGATGATGATCTGAGCCATGAAAGAAATATTATTAGCGCTGTCGTTTTCCATCCCATCCCAGAGAATGAACACTCATCAGTATTGCCTTCCAGTCCTTGGTTTTAAGATGTTTAGTACTTTCAGGAAGTGACCGTTAAATGATACATACAGGAAGACTGGAGTCATTTATTTGCCACACTACAAATCCCAGGCTCCAGTTTGTTCCATCACATATAAATAAGGAGGCCAGTTTACAACATAAGCTCATAGTTTAGCAACTTGTGCAGTTTTGAAGTCCTAAACTGTCCTGCCGTTGGTCATGCTTGATAATCCTCTTCTGGAGACAATGTCATTGTATTGCACAATTCAGCAGCAAAAGTTGCTGAATCATTAGGACCTAACATAGAGTAGAATTTGCTTCAGTTCAACTGTTTCACCCTCATTCAATAGTAGCATTGTGTTCCTTTTCAGTTGTAACCTAAAATGTCTTGCATTTTGTACTATGCGCACCCAAAAATATTGTGAAACTCTCTACTTTTCACTTTATAGTTTGATAAATGCCAAGTACTACATTTAAAATATTAAAGAGCCAAAGCAGTGCTATTTTTCAAGAAAAAGGGTGCTAGAACTCACAGTGAACACCTCCCTCGTTCTCTTAGAACGGCAATGGCACCCACCTGAGAGGTGTCGGAACTGAGTTTCAGCGAGTTCTGGCTGAAAATGGGTCCTGGTCTTTGGTGTTGACACTGCGATGGAATGTCAAAGAGGAAGTGGAAAAATGGAACTCCCCAAGCAGCAAGTTCTAAATTCTGGGCATGGCAGCAGAGAAAGCCCTCTGCCTTCTTTCAACCAACGTTCTTATACCTTCTGGTTTACTGTAGATCAGACGAGAAGTGAGGTGAGGTTGATCTTTGAGAGCTCTGTGGAAGACAAAATGGCTTCATGTTTCCCTACTGCCTATGAAAATTGAAAGGCACTGCTAGGATTTCCATGTTGCAATGTGGCAACCTCAATCCCATCTATAATGGCAATAATATAAAAGCTCATAAAACAGGTCAACAGTTGGCCAAAATTACCAGTAGACATTTTTTTATTCTTATCAATGGCCTCTAAACATAAGTTTCCTTGCTTGAGTTGAGTCTGAGTTCACCAAGCATTGCAACATACTTTTATTACCATATTTGAAAACAAGATTTAAACAATTTATATATATATACATATTATTTGCATGTTAATGTCCCATGAAAATCTATGCTTTGCGTATAAGTCCTTCTTACTTGTCAGATTCAAAATTAATACATGCCATTATTCAGCATTTAAATTCCAGAACATGAATGTAATTGAATTTTCTTTCAGCTCTCACAAATGCAAGGCTTCCTAAGATATTCACACATTAAATGCTTTCAAGAATCTCTTCAAAGGGATCCTCCTTCTGTTCTTATTCATTGGCATTACTAATTTCACTTTCTGCCTAGCACAAAAATATTACAATGTTTGATGCCTCCACTAAGGATTCAAAATCATGAAGCCAATAGATTTTTTTCCCTTCTTCTATAACTAAAGGACACATTTCATTTCAATGTCCTGGGTCTTTAATTGAAGTACAGGGTAGGTGGGATTGTTTAAGGGAGAGGAATGGAGTAAAACCAGCACGTTACCAAGCACAGCTTTTAAGTCATTGAAATGAGGGTGTTTCCCTCTTTCTCGGAATAATAATAATAATAATAATAATAATAATAATAACACCCCATCCACTCTGGGTGGCTCCCAACACAACACTAAAAACAGAATAAAACTTCAGATGTCTTCTAAAAGTCAGATAGTTGTTTATTTCCTTGACATGATGGGAGGGGATTCCACAGAGCGGGTGCCACTACCGAGAAGGCTCTCTGCCTGGTTCCCTGTAACCTCACTTCCCGCAGGGAGGGAACCACCAGAAGACCCTCAGCGCTGGACCTCATTGTCCGGGCTGAACGATGGCGGAGGAAATGTTCCTTCAGGTATATTGGGCCGAGGCTGTTTAGGACTTTAAAGGTCAGCACCAACACTTTGAATTGTGCTCAGAAACGTACTGGGAGCCAACATAGGTCTTTAAGAACTGGTGTTATATGGTCTTGGCAGCCATTCCCAGTCACCAGTCTGTCTGCCACATTCTGGATTAGTTGTAGTTCCCGAGTCACCTTTAAAGGTAGCCCCACGTAGAGCGCATTGCAGTAGTCCAAGCAGGAGATAACTAGAGCATGCACCACTCTGGCAAGAGTCTGCGGGCAGGTAGGGTCTCAGCTTGCGTACCAGATGGAGCTAGTAGACAGCTGCTCTGGACACAGAATTGACCTGCGCCTCCATGGACAACTGTGAGTCGAAAATGACTCCTAGGCTGCGCACCTGGTCCTTCAGGGGCACAGTTACCCCATTCAGGACCAGGGAGTCCCCCACACCCGCTCACCCCCTGTCCCCACAAAACAGTACTTCTGTCTTGTCAGGATTCAACCTCAATCTGTTAGCCGCCAATCATCACATTGTTTGGGGGAAGTACCATTTGGGGCAAATGGGATGGGTATTGTTTAAAAACAGAGGAAAGCAGGTCTTCCTTTCACATTACATGAGCCATTCTTTTTAAATAGGCCTGGAGGAATGCCTCAATAATTCTAATGAGTTACAGCACATTAATTCACATGCGTTAATCTGAGTTAGTTTTACTTGGAAATTATTATTGTCTCAGTCCACCTCATTAAGGATGCTGATTATATGATCCAAAATTGTTTTTATAATTATTCTTGTGTAGTTCTACAAGTGTAGATAGAGATTCACTGAGTATTATAAACCAAAGGCAGATCCTTTTTCCAAAGCTTACTTACCATCTAAGTTTAGACAGTGACAGGAGACAGAGGCCGCTTCTGAGGTTTCCTTACAACCATGCACACCAAAAGGATGTGGATTTGCCTCCGGATGCATTGCGATGTGATTTTGAGGCAAGGCACTCTTCTCCATGTGGCTGGGACATAGATTTCCATTGACATTGCAGAGCCCAAAGGAACATACATTCATTCCAAACTACTATCTTGAGATGCCTCTTTATTCTTCTATCCAACTATATCTGGATCATAACATTCAGGATCAAACTCTGGGGTGGAGAACCACTTTTGGCTGGAAGGCCAATATGTGTGTGTGTGTGTGTAACACCAGCCAATCTGACATCATATGACATTAGGTGGGTGTGGCTCATCCGAAATGGCCTATTTAGGACCACAGGCCCAAGGTTTCCTATTGCTGATCTGATTGATAAATTCAGGGCTGGCAAATATTCCCCCCCACCTATTAACATCCTTCTATTATTCAAATAACTGATGTAGTCTCCTTTCACCCAACTTTTGAAAGGTATGAAAATTACATTGGGATTTAGTGTTTGCTTGTTTGTGCAGTCAGTA